ATTCAACCTCATGCCTAAGTTTAAATAAATTTTTAACTTAAGAAATGAAAAAGACATTCGCTTGAATTTTCGAAACAACTTCCTGACCATGTACAAGAATTTTGAAAAAATGTCTTCGTCCGCAGCCACTGTCGAATGAATAGACAAACCATTCAAAAAATGCCGAGTTAGAATGAACTGGCTGCTGCAAAATTATTTTTTCAGCGCTTTTAGTCTGTTTTTCAAATTTCCAGGGTGAAAACTGCATAGCAGCTGGGCGCATCTTCGTGGCCGCATCGATTCATGACGAATTTGTAAGCAGAGTGGTTGAGGAAACTCAGAAGCTGGTAATCGGTGATCCTCTGGATCGTGCCACGACACATGGCCCGCAAAATCATCTGTTCGCAATTTCGTTTTGAACATACCTAAATTCCTGTAGTGCTCATTTTGGCATTCTGGTTGCCTTTTTGAAAGGAATAGCCAATTTTTATGCATTTTGTGCTGTGCAACAGCTGCACAAAACGCATACCGTTGCGGGATTGTCTGAGCGTGTCTGTGTGTATGTATATGTGTCTGTGTGTGCCCAATGTATCTTGCCCGCAACTTTTAACTCGAGAGCCACAAAAGCTAGGAAGCTGAAATTTTAGGGGAATGTTACTCGCCGCTTTGATCCCGCAAATTTATTTTCAGTCTTTCCCTGCCATTGGGGTAACATGTACGACTTCGTGAAAATTTTGGCGGGCGAAATTATTGTCTCAGGAACCGCGAAACGGGAATCTGAAATTTTAGGATAATATCCTCCGTCTACGTACGACCTCGCAATTTTAAATTCGGCTTTCTTGCGCACTCGGGTAATACATACAGCCCCGTGAAAATTCTGACGAGGAAATTATTATTTCGCTAACCATAAAAGCTAGGAAGCTGAAATTTTGCGGTAATGTCCTCTACTCGCCTACAACTGCACAGTTTTAAATTCAGCTCTCCCCTATTTCTGGGTATCAGGAACGATCCGGCGAAAGTTCCGGTGAGGAAAATTACTATCTTGGGAATCCTGAAAGCTAGGAAACTGAAATTTTAGGGTATAGTCCCCTGCCCACGTACGACCCGGCAAGTTCAAATCTGGCTTCTACGTATGCCTAGGTGTCGATGTTCTTGTGAAAGTTTTGGCGGAAAAATTGCTACACGGGAGCCAGAAGAGATAGGAGGCCTTAGAAAGTCATATTCAGTTCCCAAGTATGCCGCTGTCTCAAGTACGACCGTTTGAAGTTTTGACACTAAAATTACTTGAAAGCCAGAAAATTAGGAGGTTGATTTTAGAAGGATGCTCGCCGCCCAAGATTTCAAATTCAGCTTTTACGTACCGGTGTATGAAATTTTTAGTGGAGAATTTCTCACCTTAGAAACCAGACAACATTTCAACTATTTTTGTGCAGCCCGAAGTACAAAGTTGTGAAAATTCTTGGCAGGCAAATGTTCGCTGGATAGAACTACACAAAACGCACATTGGCACCGGCTACCCTGGTGCGCGTCGCTATTTATATATTTTTTTTTTAAAGGAATTGTTAATATGTACTCATGCTGGAAATGTTCTTTTCTTCCGCGTTCGGGAGAGAAGAGCACTGGTCGAGTCGTCGGCGCTAAATTGTGAGGCCCCAGAATATTTCAATTTTCTAGCTTGTCTGATCACAGTAAAGTAAGAAACCCAATAATTTTGCAGACAGAATTTTGATCTATCCATACTTGGGTCGTGGCACACGTCACAAATAAATTTAAGATTTTTATTTTGCAAAGTGGCGTCGGATAAATCCCTTTCCGGAAATCGTTTCCCCCCAAAACTTTTCACACTTTCTTTCAGGCTTCTACTTTCAAGTGTACTTTGTCCTGGAATATTTTCTTGAAATTAATTGCTCAGTTTCTGTTTTCGCTAACGAAAAATGGGTGAAAAACGCATACACATATACACATCCTGGAAATCTTTCGCCGGGCGTTTTGCATCTCGTCATGAAGCAGAAACGCATAAGCGGTTACATTCCGTAGTACTTTTCTGAAAACTA